TGAAGGTCAATAAGACTCTATAATTCTTTCTGGGTATTTCTGCACCTGATTGGAGTTTCTTCTGCCTAAGACAGTTTCTTCTTCTCTATGTAGCTCAGCTAATTCCCTTTAGACATCCAATCCAGTAGTACTGCCACCCATGTAGTGTCATAGCAACCTTATTTAAAAATAATGCATTTTACTTTTTTAAAAAATATGTTTTAAGTCATACATGAGCACAATATCTTTGTTTATTTATTTTTATGTGGTGCTGAGGATCAAACCCAGGGTCTCATAAGTGCGAGGCGAGCGCTCTACCACTGAGCCACAACCCCAGCCCCTGTATTTTCCTTTTATAATTTAATTAAGCTTCATGAGGGCAGGGACTCTGTCTCTTCCTCACCACTTTATTCTCAATAACAAGAATGGTGCCTCTCACCCAGTGATTATCTACTGGATGAATTCATGAATACCATTTACTCTTACCTAATGTACAGTTTTGGTTAAATAGTGGGAAGTCTAAGAATTAGTAGAAATATAAGTGTTCACTGAATGAAAATTTGGAGATGATACTTCTCTCTTTTATTTATCCATTGGTACTATTTTTTGCAAGCATTTTTATGGAATGAAATAATATGTTTCAGGTATGGGGTTTGTAAAATATGTAGGCTTCAAAGGATCTTACAATTATGTAGTTTAGCCATCAAATTTTAAAGGTGAGAAAACTGAGGTTTATTAGATTCTACAGCTGAGTAGCTATTAGGAAATGAGAGTTTGTTCTGGGTCCTTCTTCTAAACTCCTAACATACAGAATTCTATTTCTTCAACAATCACTGTGCAGAACCGACCTTCCTTTAAAATAAACTGTTGGGAATTTGAGCAATTCTGTTTGTAAAGATAAATGAAACTAACTCTAAGAATTTATTAAGAAAGAAAAATAATTTTCTTTGTAGTCAATTTGTAGCAGTCTCTCTGAATCCAAAATCAACCACAGTTAGATGTGGATGTCCCAAGAGCTCTGGAATGTTCACACCCTTCTGTTGTTGGTCATTTACTGTTGTCTGGATTTTATCAATATGTGCTGCATGTATGTTGGACGAGGATCGGGCTTGCCTCTCTGGTTGTTTCACACATCCCTCAGTCTTCTGTTTTCTCCAGGTTGATATTCATACTTGTCTATGGTTACAAGTATGCTGTTCATTTGTTCAATTGTTGACACATGCCTGCATACCTTCAACAAGTTTTTTCTAGGGCCTCCTATGTGGTAGGATGGTTATAAGAACTGAGTACCTAGCAGTCAACAAAACTAGACCAAGGCCTTCCCTTTATGGAGTTCATGGGCAAATGGGAAGAGAGAAAGGATGAGAGAGACACGCATGGGAAAAGGAAGGGTTGCTAGCGTCTGTAGAGTAAATTTTCTATTTTAGAAGCCCTCGATAATAAAAGTAAAGCAGAACCTCCCATTGGCAAAAAATGGGGAAGAGAAGCTGTTTTGTGGTCACAGTGTGTTTAGTGAGTTGGGGGATGTTCTTCTTCATTTCAGAAAATCTCTGCTTTTCTGTATCCCTGATCCCGTCCTGGGCACTGTGGTAGCTACTGCTGGCTGACACTTGCTGAGTCTTGTTGTTGTGCCAGCTTTGTGTAGGAGAAGGCTATGGGGAGGCATCACACCCGCTCATGTCCTCGTGAGAGTGACAGGACTCAGGGAAGCTAAGAGTACTCAGCTAGCAGGGTGGAGCCTTGATTCGGACTCAGGACTCCAACTTCATGGTTCATTCATTGGGGGCAGGTATGGCAAACTAAATGACCTTTATTTGTATTATAGCATCGGAGACTTTTGTGCTCATGGCTTTGCTTCTTTTTCATTAAATTGCCCCAATTTATGACCTTATATTTAATTTGAACCACTTATAACTCCATTGTAATTAAAATTGATATATAAGTAAACTCAATTAGAAAAAAAGTAGTTGTTGTTAAATAGACTTCAAAATTTGATACACCCAATTACATGATAAAATATAGTTTATAGAATTAATTTTTATGTTTATAAATTAGTAATGTCATTTTTATAATGTGTGTGTGTATGTGTGTGTGTAAATTGCCTAGCATAGCCGGGTGCTTGTGGTGCACGTCTTTAATCCCAGTGGCTCTGGAGCCTGAGGCAGGAGGATTGTGAGTTTGAAGCCAGCCTCAGCAACTTAGAGAAGTGCTAAGCAACTCAGTGAGACCCTGTCTCTAAATAAAATAAAAAAGGTGCTGGGGATGTGGGCTCAGTGGTTAAGCAACCCTGGGTTCAATTTATGACAAATAAATAAGTAAGTAAATAAATAAATAAGTTGCCTACCATAGTGCTTGGGATGTAGAAAGTAATTCATAAGGATAGTAATGTTATTGTTTTATTTCAGTTTCCACCTCGCATGCAAAATAGTTGATGCTTTATTTTTATTTTTTATTTTTGTTTTTTGGTACTGGGGATTGAACTCAGGTGTACTCAGCCACTGAGCCACATCCCCAGCCTTATTTTGTATTTAATTTAGAGGCAGGATCTCACTGAGTTGCCTAGCACCTCACTAAGTTGCTGAGGCTGACTTCAAACTCATGATCCTCCTGCCTCAGCCTCCTGAGCTGCTGGGATTACAGGCATGTGCCACTACGCATGGGCCTGACGTTTTTTACTTGTAGTAATATACTTACAAAAGTGCTTTAAATGCACAGTTCTGTAATTTTTTTTCTTTTTTAAATTTATTTTTATTTCTTACATGACAATAGTGGAATGCATTACAATCATAATTATCCATTCACAGCACAGTTTTTCATAACTCTGTATATAAAGTATGTTCATGCCAAATTGCTGAGGTCATTAAATCAAATTACAGTTCTATAATTTGATTTAATGATCTCAGCACTTATTAGTGCAATATCCTCATGTGGACTGCTCCATTTTGATGTCGCTTTCCTTTGGTGTGTCACCAGGATTTGTGAATTGAGCTGTGGCTCTTAAACTTGACCATGCCTCAGGACCCCTGGAGGGCTTGTTAAAAGACTCTCAGAGCGTCTGATTCAGTAGGTGTGAGGTGGGGGTCTAAGAACTGGCTTTCCTAGCAGGTTCCTAGGTGATGTTGCTACTGGTTTGTGGACCATGCTTTTAGAACCAATGCTCTGGGGAAGTGGTATCAGTTTTAATTATTGCTGTTCTCTTACATGTCCAGTGGAGTTTGATGTACTGATATCATTGATGTTGCTGAACTCATTGTATGGTCTTCATGAAATAACAGAGAAATCTGGTTCCTATATACATCATTGTGTTCATTGCCGAAGGAAGTTTCCTAAAGGTTACCTTGACATTAGAGAATTTCAAAGCATAGGTCTTAATTTGTTTCTGTTATTCTTCTTTCTTCAAGACATAGAACCACACAGGTTTGTTTATTATATGTAAAGCATTAAAATTTTGGAATATATCTAATTATTTTATTTTTATTTTTTTGGTATGAGGGACTGAACCCAGGGTTACTTAACCACTGAGTCACATCTCTAGTCCTTTTTATTTTTTATTTTGAGACAGGTTCTCAGTAGGTTGCTTTGGACCTCACTAAGTTGTTGAGGCTGGCTTTGAACTTACAATCCTTCTGCCTCAGCCTTATAAACTGCTGGGATTATAGGCATGTGCCACTGTGCCTGGCTGAAATATATTTTATTGAACAATTTTATGTTATAATTGATTTGTGAGAATTCCAAAAAATCAGGAAGTTATGGCAATTAAAAAATAGTAACAAAAAGTTTTATCTTCTTAGTTTTTTTTTAGAGCCTTTTTAAAGCTAAAATTTGAATAAGTAGAATTTGGTGCTCATCATTCACAGTTATAAGATTTCATTCAGTCTTATACCGGTGTAGCAATTTTACCTTTTCCTTTTAAAGCTTAGATTGTACTTTTGGGGATATGATGGTGTAGAAGAGTTATTCTCTCAAAGAAGAAAAGGCAATCAGAAAATCTTTGTCCATGAGATTAGACTAAAATGTTCTCTCATTCAGTGATTACTGAATGCCTTTCTCTGCCAGGCAATATGGCAAAAATCGGTGCCAAAGTAATTTATCTTTATCATGTACAATGAGGGGTTTCAGTGGATTGTAACTTCAGATGGTCTAATTGTGTGATGAGGCTACTGATATTCTTAATGCAATCTTATGCCTTGTTAATAGAATTAGAATTGTGTACCCAGAGAGGTGAGGTTCTGCTGTCTTATTTTGCTAGTTGGTGTGTGGAATGTGTTGTGTAGTTTGGAGCACAGAGAAGCATTGGAGTCATTCCAGAAGGGAGTTGCCTGCTGTTGAAAGGTGTTGCTGTGTTTGCATATGAGGATTATTGGAAAATGGAAGTAAGATGTTGGGCCAAAATATGTCTTCATTGTGTTAGTAGTTCATCCCTGCTGTGATGTAGCATTCATATGGACAGAGATCTGTCCACCTTGAGCACCATTGTGTCCTCAGTGCTTAATACAGGGCCTGGTGTGTGTTCAATAAATAACTGGATTGAGTCAGTTTTGGGGGAAGAATAATCATCAACTTTCAAATATTTGTTTACCCCCGCTGTGATTCAAGAAAATATTTAAGATGCTAAAGATTGTATATAGCATAACAGATCCTCATGGCTTGTTACTTAGCTTTGTTATTTAAATTTCTAGAGGGTGGATGGGAGCACGAGTGGAGGAATTTTTAGTTGAGGAGATTTCAGTTTTATAGAAGAACTTTTTAAAACTTAGATCTATATAACAGTCAAATCAATAAGCTTTCTCATTGGTGTGAACTGTTTTCTCGAATGTGTGGGTAGAGGCTGCATGGGAATTTTTTGGTACCAACTTTTGTAAATTGTGGGTCAAAATGAGGATTTCAGCCAGTGACACTCAACAATGGTATATATCTGCATTTGTATTTAATTATTTCACTTAACAAAAAAATAATATCAACTGATAAAATATTTTCTAAGTAGAACTTTTTTTTTTTTTTTTTTTCCCTAATCTTTTTAGACTAAAGCAAAGCAGGGACCTGGAGCGAGAGAGGGCTGATGCCAATGAGCAGTTGACCAGAGCCATCCTTCGAGAGAGGATTTCCAGTGAGGAGGAGCGTGCCAAGGCCAAGCACCTGGTGAGTCCTGAAGGTTGATAAAGATATTTTGCCTCCAAGGAAATCTTTTTTTTTTTTTTTATTTTTTATTGATTGTTCAAAACATTACAGAGCTCAAGACATATCATCTTTCATACATTCGACTCAATTGGGTTTTGAACTCCCCAAATACATAATACAGACTCACTTCTGTTACATACTCACATTTTTACATAATGGCATATTAGTGACTGTTGTATTCTGCTACCTTTCCTATCCCCTACTATCCCCCCTCCCCTCCCCTCCCCTCCCATCTTACCTCTCTACCTCCTCTGCTATTGTTCAATTCTCTCCCCTTTTTCCCCCCACCCCCTTGCCCCTCATAACCTCTTATAATTTTGTGTATCACTGAAGGTCTCCTACCATTTCCATATGTTTTCCCTTCTCTCTTCCTTTCTCTCCCCCCATTCGTCTTAGTTTACTGGTAGTCTTTTCCTCATGCTCTTCCTTCCTGTTCTATTCTTAGTGGCTCTCTTTATATCAAAGAAGACATTTGACATTTGTTTTTTAGGGCTTGGCTAGCTTCACTTAGCATAATCTGCTCTAATGCCATCCATTTCCCTGCAAATTCTATGATTTTGTTGTTTCTTAGTGCTGCATAATACTCCATTGTGTATAGCTGCCACAATTTTTTTATCCACTCGTCTATTGAAGGGCATCTAGGTTGGTTCCACAGTCTAGCCAGTGGCGCAATGGATAACGCGTCTAACTACGGATCAGAAGATTCTAGGAAATCTTGAATGTCTGGGAAGAGCTAAGTACTCTGTGCCACTTTATTGTTGAGAACCTTCATGTTCTCTTTGCGTATACTTTCTTGGGTTTTGCCTTTTACAAATAGCTGATAATTTAATATTAACCATCAAGAACCCCGAGGTAACTTCAGAAGAATTAAAAGAAAGATCAGCTCACAGACAGGCAAGTGTATTACGCTGGGCTGTTCGCATTTTTCTCTCTTTTGATTTTATTATCTTTGAAACCTCTGGAGCCAGCTGACCAGCCTTCTTTTTCTTTCTGTTGGCAACTACCAGATGTTCACCTGGGAAGACTCCAGTGATGTGAGTTAAGGAGGGTCAGTTACTCTCTGGACTTTAGGAAGGGACAATGTCAAACAAGGGCTTTGTGGAACCATCTTTTAATTTTAAGGGAACCAATAATTTTTAAAATAATTTTTCAATTTTTAAAATGGTATATAAACATCTTTTCAAAAATAAATTGTTAATAGAAGGAAGAAAATTTAAAAGGCACCTGTAAGTCATCTGTCTGATGTAACCATGGTTTACATTTTTTTCTAGTCTATTACATATTTAAGAATTTGGATAATGCTATATACGGTACTTTCCATCTTGAATATTTTCTTGTATCACAAGTCATTTTTTTTTTTTTTGAAATGTAGGTTTCAATGACTGAATAATGCTCTGTCTTTTATATTCAACATAAACTCTCGACCAATTGCCCCTTAGTAGGTAAAAGTGGAGCTGCTCTGGTTGAAGCCTGTGCTCCTGACTCTCAGCCCCTATATCAGCCTTCTTAGAATTGCAGATGTGACTCCTCAGAACCTTTAGTCCTCCGGGGGACACAGATGAGAACTTAGACCGGTCCTTATTGTTGAGGACTTTTGAATGCCAGAGCTCCTAGTTCAGCAGGCTGTTGGGAGTTACTAATCTTTGTAAGAAAAGGGTCAATTTCTGTTCTTTCCTAGTCTGTCTGTCGCTATTTTTACAGTGTTCATTAGTACTGGAAAATATTCATTAATTTTAGGAAGTTTGACATTTTTTCTTCCCATTTTTTAAATGAGATATAATAATTGCACATATTTAGAGAGTCCAGGGTGATAACTCAGTGTGTGTATATAACACACAATGGTCAAATCTATGTAGTTAGCATTTTTCTTTCCTTAAACAGTTATCTTTTTTTTTGTGTGTTGGGAGTCTTCAAACCCTTGAACTATCCTCTCCTATTCTTTATTTTAAAGTATTTTTTTAAGTTGTCAGTGAGGACCTTTATTTTATTTATTTACTTACGTGCGGAGCTGAGAATTGAACCTGGTGTCTCGCACATGCTAGGCAAGCACTCTACCACTGAGCTACAGTCCCAGCCCCTCTTTCCTATTCTTTACCTCACTAATTTATTTGAAAAGCTAACCTAAGACCAGGTGCAAGTAGAGAAGAGAAAAGGAAAGTTAATATATTATAATAAACCTATTTGTTTCGTGACTGATGCAGAGTAGATGTTAAGCTAGAACAGAGGTGATAGACCAGAAAAGAATTGTCAGTGGGCTCACTGGCAGACACACACTGTGTGGGACTGAGAGAGTAAGTGAGGGAGAAGGAAAGTCAGTCACAGTGGAAGAGGAATAATTTCAGAATTAAAGACACCAAATGTTGAATAATCTAATTGATGATTATGCCTGTTCTGTGTCTAAGCTGAAGGGTTTTTTGTGGAAGTAAGAAAAATGTCAGGCATGTGGATTGAAGCACCATTTCCGTGCCTATTGAAGTCTCCCAATTTGAAGGATAAGGATGGAATGGAGAGGGGGGTTAATAGTGCTCATGTTTGAGAAAGGTGGGGGAGGAAAATTCTTTTTCCAGTGGGCAGAAGAATTTTTGTTTTGCATTTTCACCTGCCTTTTGGCTTTTTGCATCTTTTTTTTTTCTTACTACCTGAATTTGAATATAAGGTCTTCTTCACTTAGCTTAAGATTCTAAAACCCCAAAACTCACTAAACATACACACTTAGGCAAGCACACACACACACACACACACACACACACACACACACACACACAGAGCCAGGTACATGAAGAGGAGAGTGTTCACAAAAAATGTGAAAGTAGAAAAAGATTTCTTATCCAAAAGTAATTTAAATATTATATAATATAGTATGGTTGGAACAGTGTATATTCAGCCCATATTCTCTTTCTACCTAATAAATCTTGTCTATTATATTTGTTTGTTTATTTATTTTTGTTTAGCTGGTCAAGCGTAAGAAACTGATACTATACATTCTATTTTGTAGATCTCTTTCTTACTGATTCTTGTATTGTATGGTAGAGATGGCAAATTACAGTACTCACAACTCCTAAATTTCACCATCTATCACAATATTGGCCAAATAGAGTCCTCAAAGCACTGAAGGGATACAAGTAGAATTTATATAGTTGGATGCTAGCTCATTCAGAGGTCCCTTCCTAGCTTGAATGTTCCATTCTACTTGAATGTATGTTAGGGCCCATAGCTGCCGATGGCAATTAAGGTTAACTGGATAATTAATTAATTATCCAATTAATTAACTGGATAATTCTGGATACTGGATGATTTATTGACCATATTTTTTCCATTATTAACATTAGATAATACAGAAAACATAACTATTTATTGAAAAAAGATGAGAAATTAAATCCAAAAATATTAAAATCAACTTAGTATCATCATGCAAAGATAATTTTCCAGTTTATTATTTAAATAGTTTTTTTCACTTGCCAAAGTTTGTATATTTATATTTATATGTGTAAATGTGTTAGGCCAAACACAGATAATACAGTGCATATTTTTGTACTCTTATAATATTAAACCTTTTCATTTGAAGACTATGTGGTGAAAGTCTTTGTATCTATAAGTGTGGTTTTGTGTGATCACTTTTTAATGATTGAATGTATTTCAATGCATTTTTCTCTAATTACTAAACTTATACAAGGTTATTATAGAAAAAATTAAAAAATATAATATATAATAATATATTTTTATATAAAAATTACCAAGAAAATAATTATGTCATTATTATTAATGGTTAGAGGTATAAAATTCTTTGTAACTCCTCCATATATATTCCATATAGACTTTAAGCTTTCAGATTCTACATCCCAGCGCACTCTGAAACAGAATAGTGTGGTGTGAACTGCCAGCCTGCTCTTGTACCATACCCCTTGATTCCCTGTGGAGGGGTATGTCTCTTCCAAACCCACAGTTCATACGAGAGTCACCCCAAGGATGTTAGTGTTATCCTGCTGTGAATGCTGGTCCCCTGTTGCCTAACTCTAATATGTGGGCTCTTTGAATGATGGCCAAATATTGCTTCGTTCCTCTTTATTTTGAACCCAGGCATTGCAGCCTGTAAGAAAGTAGAGTTGGATTTCCTACATTTGCAATAATTAGACAGCAGGAGACCTAGGGTTGGATTTGGAAGGCTGTAAGTTGAGCATCCCTTGTCTGAAATGCTTAGGACCAGAAGTGTTTTGGATTTTTTACTTTTTTGGGATTTGAAATATTTACACCAATCTGATATCTTGTGGATGGGAACCTAGTCTAAAGATGAAATTCATGTGTTTCTTATACAAATGTATGCATATAAGGTGAAGATAATTTTATCCAGTAGTTTTAGTGTGTCTGCGTTTTGACTGTGGTCCATCACTTGAGATCAGGTGGTATTTGCCACTTGTGGCATTATGCCAGCAATCAAAATATTCTCGATTTTGGAGCATCCTGGATTTTAGCTGGGTGCTCAACTTGTACAGTGACATACAGCTATCCCCTTTCCCCAATCCTCCTGCTCACTAACAATTGGTGTTTAGATCACTGTCCCCAGAATTGCCAGTCCAGGCTTCTCCTCCCACAGCTATTGTAGCAGCTGGCTTTATTGTAGAGACAGCATGGCCCTGCCATTGAAGTTTTAACATAGAGTCAGATCAGAATTCTTCCCCCTTGAAAGAATTGCTTTGGGTGGGCAAGCTGTTACTTCCATTCTAGGTCCTAGGAAGAGTATACCAGCCCCTCTATCCTGCACTGACTGATGCGGATATTTTAATTAGCTCATTTTATCCACCATCCTCTCGTGGTTTTACCTGCCTGTGTAAGCAAAATTTATGTTAAAGATATGCTGCATAGAAATAGGAAAGCACCTCTGTAAAGAATGAAGACTAATTAAAAGGACAGGACCAAGAAACTCTAAGTTAATATAATTTGACATTTTGTGTGTCTTTAAGATC